GAATTGGAAGCACAATCTTTCAAAGAAACAAAATTTTGAGTCAAATGAAACAGGGAAAAAAAAGGACCTATAGGTCTAAAAGACATCTTTTCCACGCACATCATGGGTTTATGTAGCAATGGCAATGCTAAGCAATGAGTTTTGCTATTAAGGTTTGCAGCTTGAACCCTGTGCCCCATCATTGCTCATTTTCTTCTTTTCGCTCCCATTCAGGTTTTGTAAACTATTTACAAAATAAAGCCATCATAGTAACAGCAATCATTGCAACAGCCATGTTCTTACAGCTTGGCAAACCAAATCAATGCAATAACTACACTGGGAAAATAATTATAAAATCCACTTAAGATTTTGGATCATCTTTCATACCCAGTATCTCTCATGCTCTGCTTTTGAACAGACATAGCAAAGAGGGCATCAGACTTCGGTGCCAGGAGAGAAACAAATTACTTGGGAAGAAAGTCTCTAGCCCCATCAGACAAAACTTCTATTTTGAGCTGCACCATTAACCTATGGTTTACAGAGCAATTTAAATGTGCCATTGCAGAAGCAGTCTCCCTATTATTTCTGCATATTCTCAATCATACTCTACTCTTTTCTTTAAATTACAGTCTATAAAACTAAACTGCCTGAACTGATATTGATGCAGACAATCAAATTTACATTCAAACTCATCTTTCAGTGGTAGACACTCTGTGTTATTTAATACTCAACCTTCAGTATGTCATAAGCAGCTAAAAACAAGAAATCAAAACTTGAACCAGTCACTAAGTGACCTGGTTTAGCAGGCACGGTGTTGAAGGGTTTATGGTAGGACTCCGTGATCTTAAAGGTCTTTTCCAACCATAATGATTGTACGATTCCTGAAGTGCTCAGCTGAGTGTATGTGCCTTCATTTAAAAACTGTGGGACAGAAGAGATACAAATCTTCCCAAAATCAATGTTGATTATCAAAGCAATTCCCAAAGTTAATAGTAAATTAAATGATACTTGTCCCTGTAATGACACTCTACCTACATATAAAGCTGGTTTCTTGGATAACAGGAACAAGCAAACAAGAAGTCCACAATTATTTATTTAATCCAGGGACGTAAGGGAGGGAGATTTACAGTTCTGTGCTCTTTACCTCAGCTTTTAATGCACACAGATGGGTAATTCTGAATCTTGTAAACATTCATTTGACATTTCAGTAATTCAAATTATAATGATATGTGTCCTATTGAAAACCCATCTTTGACCCTCACACACCTTTTCAGTCTGTCAAATATAAAGAACCCCTTGCACAAATTCAGCACCTCGTACCACTACTTATTATTGTTAAGTTTAAAAAGACAACTGTACTAGCTAGAAATACAATTACAAATGTAATAGTAAAATATTTATGTATTTCACCCACTCTTTCAGAAAAGACTCCTCTCTTCCTCCCAGTTTTTGAAGGATATAACAACAGAAACAGGGACTCGGTGAGGCCACGACCCTCCCCATGACCCGACTCAAGCTGCATGTCAAGCACAAATAGTTTCCTGACAGGAAGCCAAATAAACACTTCTCCTTAAGCCTGACTCCTACTTTTTTTTCTCCTTTTTTCCTTTTGTTCCTCACCAGCTCAAGTCAAAGCTACCCCAAAGTTACAGAAACTGAGAAGAGCAGATTGCAATGAACTCAAAGCGCACACACAAATCCTGCTCACTATGCTGCTGCATACATGTAAATGCTACTACATATAGCACATCTGATACAGCACCACTTCTCCACTTACTTTCACATGAGCTACCACTGGTATCAATGGCCCATAATGAGTATCCCCATGAAGGCAAATTTAACAGTAGTTAAAGTTTAAACTGGGAATGGATGGGCAGCTTCGCCACACAGGTCAGCGTGACTGAAAGCTGGAAAGTTTATGCAAGGTATGAAGGCTGAACCCTGAAGTAATTTCCTTTGGTTGTTTTCTGCAGTCAAGTCTAATGACCCATTGTAAAACTATGCTTAGTGCACAAGTCAGACCGACAATACGGACTAAACTCCATTCAACGTGGGCCCCGCATCTCCCTAAGGCCTCCGCTAAACACAGCTCTGTATGAATGCCCTGCCGGTCCATTCCCCCTTCCCTGGAGACCTTCCACAGCAGAGACATCCGAGCGCTAAAGCCTGGGGAGCAGAGGGAAATGTCCTAGACATCTGAAGCCCTAAATTCAAAAATAAAAAAGAATTTGCATATTAAACAGTTTCAGAATTCACCCCGTAATAAAGAAATTTCAAAGTTCCTTTAGGCACACAATAAAAGTCAAGGTGATACAAAAGTGACTCTTCATAGGGCCTCTTAAACACTTGAGTGCTTTAAATTGCAGTGTGATCAACATGAACATTTTCCCATTTTCTGGAAGAAGATGGATGCAAAACCTAAAGACACATAAAATATGTCTATTGCAGAATTGAAAAAATAGATGTGGACAGTTCAAAACAGGCAATTATTCTGTTTTAAACTCGTGAGTTAAAGAGCACTGAAAACGATCTACTTTTTGAATTAGCAGAATGATACTGCTCTGAATAGAGATTTGCTGACAATAACTTGAAAGCTGAAAAATTAAACTAGAAAATACATTTCACAGAAAGATCAAAATTTCGAGAAAGGAGTTTTCTTCTTTTCGATTTTTTTTTTTCCGTCTCAGTAAGTATATAGACACAAGAGTACCCCCAACAATGCAACCTTTTACTATATTTCCTTTAAAGACAAAGGAAGTGCATAATACAATTTTATCAAAAATCAAACTAAAAACTTACTAAACTGGTACTCAGTCGAGAATCTGGATTTAATCTCCTGCTCCACACACCATCGGTTCCCTAAACCACTTGAGGCTCCAAAAGTTCTAACAACAGACATAGTTTTAACATGATAGAAGGCTTAGATTTCATCTTGGTTTATACACAAGACTTAAAATTTCTATCATATATTTACTTTATAGTTTAAATTATTTTTAACCACTAGTGCTGTTATTTTTTAGTGTTCTTTTTAAGTTGGAAAATGAAAATTCTTGTTTTTCTCTATGCTTCAGGAAAGACTCCAAAGAGCATCACACACCTCTTTCTTCACTAGTAGAATGCGGTTCCCAAATGTATAAATTAACTCAATTATCCTTTTTAAAAATACATAATTAAAATAATTTTGTCATTTAAATAAAAATTCCTATTTCTATGGTTGGCTTTTTCAAAAGCAAAGTTAACATCATCTACAACACCTATCAATTTGATTATTTTTTATTTTCTCCAAGAAAACCTCAGAAATTCTGTGCTCCATTATCTTCTGAGGAATTCCTAAAGAAACTGGCACTCTGTTCAAAATTCAGCAGCTCACATAGTCCTTTTGATTCAAATCACCTCCAGTGATGAGAACGGAACTAAAACCCCCTCTCAAAATTCAGACTTTTTAAGAAGTTTGAATGTACACGAAAAAATCTTATACCACGCTATTTCCCAATATTGCATTGATACATAAAATACAACCTTAAAACAAACCAGGTGAAAAACATCATTTCAACAACTGGCATTAATTTGTTTGCCTTTTTTCTAGTCACACAATATTCCATAGCAATACCCTGAAAAAACATGGTATCAAAAAACAGCAATGCCCTGAGTCAGGGTAATAACTATAAAGCCTGTTCCCGCAAAGGGAGGGCACACTGACCCAGGTTATTGTTTTAAGCTCTTAAAAATAGCTAAAATGCATTAAAATGAGATAGGGATTTGAATTCTGCACTGTTGTAAAAATCCTGATGTACCCCATCTCCAGCATATTGCCATAAACACTGTGGCATTTCTGGGGCAATAACCTGGCTCATTTAGTAACAAAAATGAATGCTTCTTCCTTGTTACTACAGCTTAGTAAGTAGAAGGAAGGAAAAAAAAATATCCCACAAGACTAAAGTTGGCATTACTCATTTCTTCAGAGTTGATCCCACCTTACTGGTTCCCATTAGACAGTAGCTTCCTTCATGGAGTTATTCTAAATCTCAGAAATAATCTAGAGCATGTTGACTTCAGTGAGGGTGAGTCATGAATGAAGATGCAAATCTGAATTAAGTGCAGGAAACAAGTTCTGTTTTTTTTTCTTATTAAAGAAATCATCAGTATCTTTTTATAAACATCATCCTCTTGTACCAAAAAAAAATCACTCAGAGTAATACAAAATTGTATAAATGCAGTCAAAGTGGAGTCTGTAAAAGCTATACACTACACTATATACTTTTCCCCCCCCAGCACTGTTTCCCACATTTTTATGCTATACTTCAAAAGCAACATACTCCAGCATTAAAGTTAGAGGCAGGATCTTGTGGACCAGACCCTTGTTTATATTGAAAGTGCAGCTAATTAAACTAAACCTTGTAATCCGAAGCTTCACAGAACAGTAATTTTTACGGCCTGATAAGTAACGGAGACAAACTCAGGTAACCCCAAAAGAACCAGACAAATATATTTATTTAACAGCAAATGTTTACTAGTCAGACTAAAGAAACAAGTCTGTCTCTGCTGCACTGCACTGGGAAGTACAGTGTGTGAGTGCACATATGAACTCGTTGAGACAGAACAAGGAACATGGTTACATGAGAACATTAAACCAGGGGGTAATTTATCTGTCATGTTGAGGAAAGCTCAGGGAAGTGATCCAAAGCAGATAAAAGCAAGAAAACAGGAGTGCTAAACATAGGAAAATGGAGCCAGGGCACTGAGTAAATACAGAGCAGAACTTCAACCAACACATCTAACATTGATTTCTGAAGTCTCTTCAAGATCTTTTACCTATGAACCCAAAAGTTCCCGGAGCTCCTGCCAGAGTCAATCTTTGGAGTCATTCCTTACACCAGGCACACATGGCAGATTATGGCATAGCTCAAACACAGAGCTATAGGAGTAAATGTGTAGGTTGATCAGAAACGTTAACAGCACTTCTGTTAGAAAACGCTTACATCTTCCAAGCTGGCTGCAAACATTTCAAGTGCAATGCTTACCTTTAATAGTTTCCTCCACAACTTCTACTACACGATCTATTTGCTGAACCTAAAAAAAGTCAGAAGGTCAATAACTAATCAGGCAAAAACTGGACATATTTTAAATAACTCTTCCTTCAAAGCGTGTCTTCCTTCAAAGGGAAGCAAGGGTGTGCGGGCTCTGTTTTCATTTCATCTGTCAGAGACCCTGTAGTAACTTTAAAACTCACCATCTAACTTCAGCTAGATGTTCCCTCAAAAGTAGTGAAGTTCTCATAAAGTCAGCAAAAATCACTAACTAGAGGGACAGCAGGGCCCCTATTAGGGCTGCCAGTGCAAGAAGGGCAGAGAGAGAGGAGGCCCCAGCTCCTGCACGTGGATGCTCCATAGCCAGTAGCCAAGTGACTGTGGTCACCTGGACAGGCCACACATATGGCTATATATTTTTTTTAATGTATTTTTTTTTTTAATATTTAAAAGAATCAACATTAAGATTGCAAAACTCAACACAAATTCTTAAAGTTCAGATTCTTCCTACAACTCTCATCCAACATAGCCTATGTACTGTCTGCTACATATGCATGCACATGTCTACACATACTGGAGGAAAACAAAATACTGAAAATCTACATTGCACACTTAGAATAGCATACAATTTTTCCACAAGTAGACTTTTAAACACCAACATATCTAAGCTGTATACGATTTTTGCAGCCAACTCCTCGGTGACTGTTTGTTTCCTTTCAAAAACAAACACAAAAGCACAAGTCGTACAGGCTGCAAGAGCAGAACCTGGTCTGCAACCAAGTGCCTTGCAACTGGGACCACTTGCATCAAAGCTATTAAGCCTCCATGCCCTTAAACCACTGAGTTTGTCATTTCCTGTAAACAAATGTCTGCACAATCATCTGTATTTCACATTCATTTTCCAATCAGCTAAAAAAAGTTAATTGGAAGTTGGTGTCTGACCTAGAGCTCTTCATTAAATTCATCTGCAGGCTGGTCGTCTTGCCTGGGTGCTGGATTCAGCCCATGCTAACCTCTGCATTTTCCAAAATCTTTTCCAAATAACAAATCTCTTGACACTTCACATGTCTGCATATAGAACACTAAATACAAATTCTAGAAATTCAGTTATTTGAAGCAGCACTAGCTCTGGCATTTTAGTAATATTATAAGAGATATGCATTTAAATCCTTTTGTAAGATAAAAGCACATATTTTCAATATGTTTGTATAGCATCTATTGTATAGCAGCAATGTATTTAGCATATAAAGTAGACACACATTCAGTTCAAACACATGCACCTGTTTCATGCATATATATATACACACACACACATTTACATATTTTATATATAAGATGCTTATAGATGGCCTTTCTACTTAAATATTCTAATAAAAAAGGGAACTTAAAGGCAGAAGCGTTGGCATTTATTATTACAAATACAGGCATGGAACGCTGTCTGTGCCAAATGCTGCCTAAAATACTGTTGCTATATACCTCAGTACTGAACTTAACTTCATAAGCTTTTAAAAGCAAAAGACAGCTGTTTGCTTTGTAACCTGAACCAATGATGCTTAATCCCTGCATTCAAGATCTGGGGAATTTTTGTATATCTTTGAATCTCCTATTAAATAAAGCCATGGAAAAAAGCAAACAAACACTACGCTATATTTTCATGTTACTGGAAAAATCTATCTTTCAACATGATGCCTGATGCAAGTAATTAAAATTGAATTGCCAAGAGAAGACGAGGACTAAAACAGAGGCTAAGAATGGGTATTTATTCTACCTTAATAATGTTATATTAAGTACTTCCATTTGAAATTAATGGAAATTGTTTGGCTAAAATCCCAAATGTTGAAGAAGAAAGCAGCAATTGCTCCAATTTTCAGTTACGATGGTAAAAATATATAAAGCAAAACTAAACTGACCCTGAAATGAGCAGAGGGAAGGGTTATTTGGATTCTTATTCAGAAGAAAAGGAAAATAATAAGAATGAAAAAAAAAAGACAGAAATAAAGACACAATTCTTAGCTATGCTGAGCCATACAGCACTCCTTTCACCATGTCTCCCCTTATGGATAATCCTGTTTAGGAGAAGTTGCCAGCGGGCACATTACTGCCAGTCACTAGTTGACATACTAGACTCGGCGCCACTGATTTGGGGTGATCTTGTTCACTAGGATCAACACGTACGGGGTGGACTCGCTGCCCACTACAAATGGTTCTCCAGTACACGTTGGGTGAAACAGCAGGAAGATGAGCAGAGGAGGAGGTGAAAACAAAACACAACTCGTCAAGTCTGATGCAGAAATCTGGGCTGAGACTGGCAGAGGATGGAAGCAGGGCCTGAGTTTGAACAAAGACCAGGAAAAGACCTTTACAAACCTTCTCGTGCTCATATAAGACATCAGTGCTACCAAAGATCCCTCTCTTAGAAGCGCAAGAGAGGCACAAGGTGGCCTGTGCTGGGGCTGCAGCCAGAGGTCACCTCTGCACATGCAAGTCCCTCACATTTTGCCCCACTGGATCCTCAAGGCCCTCAGCACCTCCATGAGCAACACGAGCACCAAGGTTTGTGCCAAGCCCCAGTTACAGAAGCGCAACGGGATTAGGAAGGATATCCAGATGCCTTGTCATTTGTCATCAACTGAGAAAGCCCCCCAGTTCCCTGTGTAGTGTCATTATCACATTCAACAGATGACCACGAGAGGTAAACAGCCCATAGAGGGGCTTGCAAGGCGCTATGTCTGCCCCTGCACACGAGCTGGTTCGAGTACAGACAGACATGCACATGAGGATGGTCACACAAGTTCTTCCCCGTGCTCAGACACGGCCTGAGCCATCTCAGGAGCAGAACTAGCATCCCAAAACGCTTTCGCATAAGCAAAATTCTGGAAGAAAGAAAACCTCTAAGAAAGCCCCTAGAAATTCTCAATGTTTGAAGATTGAGAGGTTGCATCTTTACTCTGAGATGTTTATACTCCATGGGTCTCAGTGAGCCTCAGAACACTTAAAAATATCTAGGAAAGTCCATCTATAAACATAAGAGTAAACATAAGCATAAGAGTAAGCTCTTTTGAAGTGTCTCTTTGGGGCAGCACCAAGACCTCTGGGGAAATTCTGTTGACATATGGGAAGTCAAAATGGTAGAAATTTGTAGTAGATTTACACAGTGAAAATATGGTATTTTATAGTAGTAGTAGATTTACACAGTGAAATAATGTGTAGTAGATTTACACAGTGAAATAATGGTATTTTATAGTAGTTTCATGTGTCCACTGAAGTATGGACAGAAGTGTTTTACAGGTCAGGAGATCTAAGCTAATCTTCTGAAGTAATTGGAGCAGATGTCCCATGCAACAAAAGCTGGGTAATGAGAAGTGTTAAAACTTCAGAAAAAGCTAATAATTAACTCCTTTTAGTCAAGATATACAATGTCCTAATGGTCTTTTCTGAAGGAGAAGCCTGTGTTTCTGCATGCTCCTCTCTGTGGCATCTCTCTGATGAAAAAAAAAAAAAGAAAAAAACAAACAGAAACAGAATGTGGCTAAGAAGATGGGTGAAATATGCAATTATATGCAATTCAGGGCTGATTCTAAGGCTTCTTGGTCACCTACATGACAAAAGAAAAGAGTTTTCTCTCCTCTTAGCACAGCATGGAAATATTTTCAGACGAGTCAGCTGCAGGAAGCACATTTACACCGGAGGCACCTTGTCCTCTGCCAGCTGTTGAGGTCTTTATGCTTGCTGGAATTATGCCACTGCCTGGTACACAGGGACTTTATTCTCGCCCTCTTCTCTGAAGAGGATTAAATCCTACAAACTGAGCATTTCAATTCCTTCAGAAAAAAATATCTCCCTGCATTGTAACTTTTATTTCAGAACACAGTGCCTATCAGAGAAATAACTACTGTAGAAGATGGAAACATCTTGACGTTCAAATAGGCAGTTTGTGTCAAATTAGGTTTGTATTCCTAACATGGCTATGCATCAACTCGGGAGTATAGAATGCACGTTTACATTACACTATTTGATGCCTCCAGATCACAAGGTTTGTGATATGCTGCATCTGATGCATCACTTCCTGAAAATAGCTGCAAAGGTTGCACATCACCAAGCTCAAGAACCCTGTTTCTACCATAGGTGCTGGGATTGACTTGATTCAGTTACTAGAATCAGTAACCAGAGGCAAACCATGAGACATTTGCCAGCAGCAACTGTCTTTTGGACAACCAGACTGTGGTTTCACACTCTGATGAAGCTCAGCTCTCACAAGTATTGACAAAGTCACCAAAGATAGTTAAAAGTGGCAGCTATGATCCCTTTAATAATGATCTTCTCAGGGTCTTCCCCTGAAGTTTTTGTTTGTTTTTTAAATCAGAGCCTGCTTCTCTTCTGCATGAAAAGGATTCTTTTGGAATCCTTTCCAAAAAGGATTCTTTTTAGAATCCATGGCCACACCTGGAGTACTGTGTGCAGTTCTGGGCTCCCCAGCACAAGAGGGACATGGAGCTCCTAGAGAGGGTCCAGCAGAGAGCAACTAAGATGATTAAGGATCATCCTCATCCTCTCGTATGAGGAGAGACTGAGTTGGGCCTGTTCAGCTTGGAGAAGAGAAGGTTGAGAGAGGATCTGATTAACATGTATAAGTTCATGAAGGGAGAATGTAGGGATGAAGGGGCCAAGCTCTTCTCAGCGGTGCCAGTGATAGGACAAGGGGTAATGGCCACAAGCTGGAGCACAGGAAGTTCCGTCTCCAGGTGAGGAGGAACTTCTTCACTGTGAGGGTGACAGAGCCCTGGCACAGGCTGCCCAGGGAGGCTGTGGAGTCTCCTTCTCTGGAGATCTTCCAAACCCGCCTGGATGCCGCCCTGTGCCCCGTGCTCTGGGTGTCCCTGCTGGAGCAGGAGCATTGGACTAGATGATCTCTAGAGGTCCCTTCCAACCTTGAAGATTCTGTGATTCTTTCTACCATGGAAGATCTGAACACAATTCATTAGAGCTTTCTCAATTTTGATGGGACAGATTACAACTCTGTCCACTAAGTACATCCTGAGTTTGCACCAAAGGCCCTTCCCTCTGGCTCTGTTACCGAATGTCCCAGAGATATAAATTTCTCCGGGATAATGTAAGCAATGATGAAGCTCCAACACTGGAAAGGGACTATCAAGACAAGTTCTTGAAGTCAGTGATGGGCTGGAAGTCATTTGAAGAAAGAAAAGATTAGGAACATTTAAGTTTTAAAAGCCCAAGAAAGAGAAAACCTGCAAAACAGAGAGTTCAAGCCAGGGAGACTCCTAGCTGAGGGAACTTGAGGGCCAGCACCTGGAATACAGCAAAGGAGCAACACTTTGCCTGCACAAATGGAGGTTGCTACTGAAGCAGAAGCTATTTAGACTTCCCTGCTTGTGAACACCCTGAAAGTAAAGGTAGGTATAGAACTACAATACATATACACACAAACCTTACAACTACTTGAAGCAAAACAACCTTCCGTTTCCCCCTAAAAAAAGAAAAAAGAAAAAAAACTATCTTTAATTTGCATTTATGGACAAGAGAAATAAATCAGTTGCCTTACAGATAAAACAGTCTTGTGTAGAAAGATTTCAAATCCAGTTCACCAATTGTTTCATCCCACAAGATTTAGACATCTCAGTTGGATGTCACGCATTAAAAGCCTGCTCAGCCTCTGCTCTCTCTGAAGTCAGTAACAGGGAGACCAATCTTCTTCAAAAGCCAGATCAAACCTTCTAAAACCTGGATTATCTTCAAGATAACCATCTTCTTTGACCATAAACGGAGCAGAGCAACAAAGGTTCTCGAATCACAACTCAGTTAGGCAGCATAAATGCAGACCTTTATACACAACTTACCAGTTGTGTATAAGTGACCAGATACTTCAGTGGGATAACATCTATGTTTAAAACGTTTGCTGAATTAGAGTATCACAGACAATGATACTGGTATCATGATATGATTATGGATAAAGTCCTGAATTAAGAAGTTATCTTGAGAGTACTATCAGACTGTACAGAAATAAAGGGAAGCAGAAAGTTGGCTATTACTACTTTGATGCAGTTTAAATATAACATGAAAGATAATTCCCATACTTTTTGATTCATAGGACTCAATATAACTGCTGTAGAAAATAACAGCTTCTATTGACATATCAAACTTGCAGTTTAAGAGCTTGCACCTACATGCAATCCCTTCCTGACTTTGCAGACTCACATATCACACCTAAGTAACAGCAGCAAGGTAAGAGACAAAGCTGAGCAGTTTGCACAGCTCGGACTGAACTGGAATTGAACTGGCATTTTGACCAATTTCTTGCCCCTAAGTTACAAAAAAACAGTCTGCATCTGCTCCATAGGTCTTCAGCAAGCCCTCTGAGAAGCTCTGTCAATTCAAACCAGTCAATATAAAATTCCATCATCTTTGTCTTTCATGAACCATATAGCAGACTATTTTTACAAGACTCTAGCTTTTAAGGGCAACAGAGAAGTTTGCAATCATTAATGCATTAATGCCTTAAAACCAACTCAAGGTTGGGAAGTATCGTTATATCCATTTTGCCTATGTCACTGAAATTCTACAGCTTGACCTGTAAAATAAAATATATGTAAAAATAAAACCAGACATTATCCTGATTTAGGACACTAACTGTAGGAATGTACATGCACTTGACATTTTGGTAAAACTTTCATTCACAATAACTCTGTCAAAACAATTCACTGAGCACAGCAACTGAGGAACATTAAATTCCAAGTCTATTCTAGCTTTTGTACAACTCCAAAAGCCAAGTGCCTAGTCATTTCTTTTCAAAGCTTACGTAGCATTTTATAATAAGTGATCCATCTCAAAGAAATGCTGGCAGCGAAGGGCTGTGCTACTGGGAGTGTTCAACACCCCCACAAATCATATTCCAGAATTTCAAGGCAGATATTTAAATACAAAAAGTATCCAAGAGCACAGCAGGTACAGAAAAGGGTTATTAGGAGGGTTTTACAAGGAGCCCTTGCACAGAGATTTAAATGATTGCAGTATGTTTTTCCAGAAGGCAGTCCCTGCAGGCTCAAAGGGCCTGCAATAAATCAGAGCTACTCCTTCTGACTCTGTGTGTGTGGCAGCAGAGGTGGGAAGAAGGGCTTGGTGAAACTGGACATGCTTTATGCAGACAAGAGAACGGGATGAAACTCTTGCCTTGGCAAACAGGTTGATGACAGAAGGAAGATGACAACAGGGCTAGGATGCTATGTCATCACAGGAAGTGGGATTTGGAGCTGACATCCTTAGTCAGGGCTACTGGACTCACACATCTGCAGAGCAAACTGCTGCTTGCATCTTTCCACATGCATAACAAGGGGCCTTCTTTACCACAAGTCAAACTGAAGCTCAGAAAATGTGTAACATTATAATAGAGGTTAAATGTTTCTGACGTATTCAGATCTCCTAAGAATTTTGTTTCAAACCCTGCAAGGACAGACTCCCATCCATGAATTTCAGCTTCTGCTCCCTGCCTGCAGGCCTGCTAGACCCTCCAGGGTGACGAGGTTTTGCAGGGTTTGTTATGTGGAGGGAGAACAACAAGAACAGAAACAGCACAACCTTGATGAAACCATCAGGTATATCCTTTGATCCTCCTTGGTTACCTTCCCCTTCTGGAGCCAGGTGCTCTAATCTTCCAGCTAAGTGTCTAAATGCACATGTTCTGAGTTTATTCCTCCTGCCAAGAGCTCCCCCTTCCCTGGAAACAGGTTTTTTTCATGTTTGCTGTGTATGATATGGCTATACAGCCTGTGCCTATTTCCCAACCCACATTGTTCTTATAAAGCTGGCAATGGCTTTAAGGAAACAGAAAAGCACACCAAGATCACAAATGGCAAATCCCTGTTTGCAAAGATACCAAGTTGCCCTTCCTTCCCTTCTCCCAAATCCAGCAAGGCCCTGCTGGATTTGTACTGCCCTTTCCAAGCAAAGAGCAAAACAAGCCCTGGGTTACAAGAATTTTGCTGGTGGTTACACTGCAACTTCCTCCTCCGTCGGATCCAGATGAGCAAGAGCACTCTGACACAGTCTGCCTTTCAAAAGCCTTCCCAAAGGAGTTCTAATTGTTAGCAATAGTAAATAACCACATTCTCAGACAACGCTGTTCCAAAAAAAAAGTTTACATAATCAACAATAAATCAACCATCTGTTAGCCAAGACAAAAAAAAAAAAATGAGACCAACCTGGTGGTAAAGCAAGATTTTCACAACTGTTGTCTTAATGTTTACGATTTTAGAGCTTAATCAGTGTCCAGCTGCCAAGAGAACATTTCCTCTTTCCCTGTTCTGTCAAAACTGCCTTTCAAAAATATTTTAAGAGTAGTAAGACATTAACTCTTTAAAAACAGTCATCCCTCTTGCACACTCTTTGTAAAATGAGAAGAAAATCCTACATACACAGGCTGGAAATGCAGGCAGTAAAAGCAGGAGCAGGCTCCCAGCTTTGCTTTTGTCAACATTTATGCCTAAAGATCAAGACCTCTTTGGGCTTAAACATCCTTAACCTAGAGCACAGAGAAGTTTATAACCAGCAAATGACAATTAGCAGACAGTGTGTTTATTGGGAAGATAAATGTTTCAATGCTTTCAAGTTCAAATCACGGCACTTCGAACACTGCACTAATGGTCCTACTAAATGCCAAACACAAATCTGCCAGTTACAAACTCAGAACTGCAGTAAGAATTTGAGTAAAATAGCAAATGAAGCCATCTCCTACCTAATTGAAGTATGACTTCACTTCTAAATCAGTTTGTTCAACTGCATCATGTATGCAAATTCTTTTAAACAGAATAAAATTGTCCCTTTTTTGTTCCTTTAAAGCTTAGTTTTGATCTTTCATCACACTGCAGTGAATACACGTTGAGTTTTCTACATTTTGAATATCAGAAAGATGCTGCGCAGTCACCTGCTTCTACTTGCATAACACAGGACAATTTTACCCTGTAATTCACATACACTGAATCCCCTAAGTCTTTCAACTCAAAAGTGCCTTTTATAAATTCATCTAGTTTCAAGGTAAAGACTGAAATGATGAAGAATCTTTGTGAGCTTGTGCTAGGACAATGTGTCCCCGATTTTCATTACAATTTTACAAAGCTGATTCAATTATGCTGTATTATTTCATCCCAAAGGATCCTGAAAGCACTTTACTTGCTGAATTACACCAAAAGCTCCCTGGCTACATTCAAGGTGAAGCTCGGGAACTGTTTAACGGTTCCTTTTCAGACAAATTAACTCTTTAGGTTGCCTCAAATTTCACCAAAATAATCATTCCCACTTGCCATTCTTATTAATAGCACCAAGTAATATATAAGCCGTCAGTTGGGTCTGTGTAAGTGGGTCTATGTGCTCTGTCTTTTATGTTTCTTTCACCAAATTGAGCCAAGTATTTATTCCTTTGGTCTAAGGCAAATTAACTATGCTATAATACAGAGCCATGCTCTCACCCCACCTTCCAGCTCCATAGAGCTCTGAAACTCAAGTCTGATCCCAGGATCCTTCTCCTTCCCTCCTCACCCTCCAGCCAAAGCAAATCCCCAGGGACGCAACAAGGCCTTAAGCACAGTGCAGCAAACACCAACAAAGGTATCAAACTACCCACTGCCTTTTCCAAGAGAAAGGCAGGAAGGCTACCTATTGACATTGGAAACCTTATAAAAACTTGCTGATTTCTGGCCTCTTTCCAAGTTTTATACAGTTGATAACAGTACGTACCCCTATAATACTAAGGCCTTTCAGATAGTCCTGCCGAGGTTGAGCTTGTGGAACACAGCCTGCCAGAACCACCTTCTTGTTCCCTTCTTGGGCTTTCCTAAAACAAACAAGAAAACAACAAAAGTTAATATTTTCTTTTCAAAATTGATCATTTTTTTTCTTCTATTTTAGAGGGCCATACTCAACACATTACATTCCAAAGTCAACTTGTAGATGTTTGAACTTCAGATACAAAATAAGCTGATACAAACAAAAAACTATGGCATAGTTTCTAGAACGAGCATTAACGTTGTGTATCTTGGACAAAAGCACAGGCTTGAAAGCTCAAATTCCGTTAATCTTTATTTGCCACAGTGACAGCCGAGAATCTGGTCAGGGAACATGGGACACAGACTGTCATCAAGACTCAAGAGAGGTCAAGAGGGACTATAAGGCACATCCTAAGCAAATAGCAACCATTAATTCTGAACATAAGTATTTATTTAATACCAGTCAGAAAAGAGCAATTACAGAGTTTTCACTCTGTAAGGTTGAAATGGAGAATTTTGTTTATAAATTACAGCTGAAACTGAAGGACAATCTGATATGCCTTTCAAGTAACACAGGAATTGTAATGTTACAGGAGATGAGAGGCCATCTAAGCACGTACTGTGAAGGAAGAAATTAAATATCTTAAAATAGGAATATGCATTATGCTTATGATGTCAAATTCAAGAGAAATGTACTAACTATCTCCACAAAATTTTCAGTGTTTTGATGGGAATTTCAAGAAGTCTTCAAGTATTCATCCTACAGCAGCTCATGGATCCTCTACTTGCAGGCTAAAGCATACAGTGTACATGCAAATCATTTCACCTCTTCCTTAAAAAAACTGTTATGAATAAAGAACCAGGACGAAGTGTCAATTTAGCAGATTTCTTAAGCATGGAATGAAAACAGCACCACATTCCTAAAATCATCAATCCTCCTTTTTCTTCCAGTGGCAAATACTTGAGATTTTCGCAACTTTTTTCTCCGTAACCAACTAAGAAAACCAATTTTATGCATTCCCTATAATTATCACACGCTGCCGCATGACAGTGCACTAACCCAAAGCATAAAAATCACTGTGTACACTGCCTAAGAGGCTCAAGCTAATGCCTCAAGGCAAGACAGCGAGCCCTGTCTGCAGCAAGGCAAGCACAGATCCCCTGGCAGCTGCGCATCTGGTATCATCTGCGGCGAGCAGCAGCCTTCCCCAGCTACTTGGGAACCTGCAAGAACTACAGAGGAGAAGCTTTTATTCAAGCCTTTTCATCTAAGGGAAAACAACTAAATAAACAAACTTTCCCTTGACACGGCAAATGGCATTTTAATGTTATTTCCTAGCTTTAACATTTTGCTGGATCTTCCGGGATTACAACTGGAGCTAAGGGGAGGGAAAAAAGAAAAAGTTAAACTGAGTATTCTTCATATTAAGTGTTGGCTCCATTCAACTTTTTTAATGTTGTACAGGTCTCTGCAGAATAAAGAATTTTGTACACCGAGATTTTTTGCTTTAAAGAGAAATTAAGCAGAAATGTCAGAACTAAATATTCATAGTTGTTTTTTATTAGCATCCATAATACAGCATGCACACCATGAAACCCACCATAAATGAAAAAGCATTGTAAGGATTTTTTTTGCCTCACCTTTCAAGAAACTATTTCTGAAAATATGTACTACAGTACTATATTGTTACCTCCTTCTAACATGGTTTAATGAGCCCTACTCAGATTTACAAAAGCCTATAAAAGTTGTTCTTCAGAAATCTAGTTAGTACAGCAATTGTATTAGAAAAGCAAAAGCTTTTATCCTTCAAAAACATGAATAGTAATGAGAATAATGCCTCATAGAAGCTAACAGTGCATGATAAATATATCCTCTTTTTTCCCCTTTATTTCTTTTCCCCCACCCCCGCAATTGTATGAACCTTACCTTGAACTTCCTTTTTAATTGTATCAGGGCACCTTTTCTCATAAGACATTCCTTTCTAAAAATGCCTTCCCAGATATACACCTGAATAGAAATTTAATTAGAGCAATTCTCTTTAAAATAAAAGAATTCTTCAAGCTACCTCCTAAATAACAGGACACTCGACAGAAGGACTTTGTGGAAAAAAATCAGTAGCAATGCTATAAAGGCTGCATATGTTGCACTTGAAATATTTTCCACATATTCTGCTTTTAAGATACAACTTCTGCCTTGCATTTGATGGCTTCTATTTATGTTATTAGGTATCTGCCTATCCTGGAACATCCTGTGCCAGATTTTATGCAACTGTTGCTGTATTCCTTTTTCTCAAGCTGAAAGAAGAGGCATTGGGTAAGTTGGGATGGATGAAGCATGTCCATATCTCCATACCCTGAGTGTCCCCCACAACTGGTCGCTGTTAGATCATCGCTGCAGATGCTGCAGCCCCGTGGGAGATGATTCACGGCAGTTGCCACGTGGGAAGTTGTGAGACTTTTTCAAGACTCGCTCTGCTCCTCAGCAGAGTAGCAAGGAAAAAAAATGGGGACCTTTCAAAAAAGAGCGAGCAGAGAAGCTGAGCTAAGCTCAGCTTAGGCAAATGCCCAATGTAAATAATAACTTCCTTGCTGCAGAGAGGACAGATAAGAGGAGCCCAATTGTTACTGATCCCCTGCTCCTTCCCGTACGCAGGGTAGTCTCCTGCCAGCCCATGACCTTCTAAGCAAGAGATTCTTGGCTTTCAGGGAGCCATCATCACAACTTACCACCACACTGCAGATGCACAGGACCGCACGGCCACTGTCTGAATCTAGAATCCATCTGCTCTGCAGGGAGCAAACCACGCGCTGCTCCGTCACGAAACGAGTGATCTCCAAACCGCTGCTCTAACAGTGAAGCCAAGTACTGCGTGACCTTAGAGTTAACAAATGAACGCGCTGAAGCCATCGTTTCAGGACCATTAATAGAGTGACAGGACTTACCTATCTCTACACAACACAAACCAGGAATGGCACGAATATGGAAACCAACAAAAACCAAGCTCAACCTTTTTTCCCCAAAAAATATCTTGTTGGTAAAATTAAATAATGAAAACGATGAATAATGAGCAGATGGCAGCTTGTCGCCTAAGTACTAACTGCCAGTCAAAGACAAGAGAAGAAAACTCAGTAAAAGCGAGAGATTAGGGAAAAGAGGGCTTTGCAGGGAAGTCATTAGCATTTTTCATTGATGGTAACTATAAAATATTCATCCAATAATAACAGCAGAAAATTTTCAGTGGGAACAAAGATACTTTCTCTTGGCTTTTACCTGAAAAGCAAGTGGAAAGAAAGTTAAGCAAACTTTATCCTTCCTAGGGAGATGGCAATGGACTCTACTATAGACGTTTTTGTGTCAACGAACTATTTCTATAAGAGGGCCACACACACACTATTGTAGCTGCACAAATTTTAACGTGTGTCATTAAAATTGCACATTGCACTACCTAGTTTACCCATGTTATTCTTGTGACCTACTATTACTCAAAAACCAGAACAGTTCTTACCAGGCGTTTTAGGAAGTTGTGAAGCCATAATTTAACAGGAAGCTTGTGCCTGGAGTCCCTTATGAACCCTGAGAGTATGTGAATAAGTTTTGCTAAGGCAGCTCTGCATTTCTACAGTATGATCTGGGTGTATAATGAGATCAGTCTGCCAAGGACTATGAAGAGCAACACTGTGGGGAATGCTACTTCCCAGGCCATGGAAATGATGTTGTGATGTCTCTGGAGAAACACAAATGCTACTCGGCTAAACGTTCAAACATGTGAAAGATCCTCGGACTGCCTCATCTGCTGAATTAATCAGCAGGAATTCACAATTCTTCTGGAAAGTGCAGCATCCCTGGAATAGAACCATGATGTCTGTAATAAATCTGTAATAAATTCCCCCAAATCCACAAAAATCACAGAGATCTCTTCTGTTTAAAAGAATCACAAAAGGTGACTTAGCTTGTGGCTTCATCAACCTGCAGCCACTTCGATGTCTCATTACACACTCAGGGGCTATTTCCCATCGTCCTTGCCCGCTGCTATCGCTGTTCCTACCTTGCTCCATCCTCCAAGCTCCTTCCTCCTCATTTTTGCTCATCTGCTGTCATTCCTCCTTTGCTCCAAGCTCTGCAGCTCACTGGATCCAGGGCCCTATGGGACTACTGCCCCATTTAACTCACTGATACAGAAAAATATTCAGCTGAATTTAGGGTTTTCTTCTCTTTTTTTTTCCCCCCTCTCCGTTTTAGAGTTAAATTAGCGCACAAGAGAAGGGCAGCTTTAGAGTCTCCAAAAAATGGCACAGAAAAACCAGAAAAGACACAGGAACTCTTCACTCCATCTACAGTGAACATGTATTGGTTAATATAATGAATTAGAGAAATGTTACAATTTCTTGGCAGAATTGCTTGAATCTCCATAGGTCTCTCAGCTTCTTTTACCCTTCTTTGGTCCCCAAATGATTACTAGGTTTAGCTTGTGCAGTATATGAAGATCTAAAATTCATTTGAGAAGGCTGACACTCATTATTGGAGTTTATAAAATCGCTCTTTAAGAGTCAATCTCAAGGAATGCAGCCCGCAAATTACCATGCTGCTTCCTCTGAAATTGTCTCCCCTGGCAAAAGCCATCAGCTTACCTGTAAATCCTCTAAGGAAAAATAAGTTACACGTTATCCCTTCCTGACAGGAGCAAGCATGTCTATTTTTTTTTTCCTCCTCCAAAATATTTCAAAATTACACTTAAATGCTTGCCTCAGACTCAAAACCGAGGTTCTAAAGATCTCTTCTAAGCAAAAGAAAGAAAATCATCAAGCATAGAGCTTTTTAGAATAAAACGAATGTCATTCTGAGAATAATGTCATGTTTGACACCAAGACCCCAAGACCTGTATTGCCATGTACCAAAATATTCTCTAAGCTGCTGAGAAGATGCATCAGAGGAAATAAAATGCACCCTTCCTATCCTACCTACTGACCACCTGTGAGAATAAGCTTTTGGCTTCTGTTCTACAGAAGTAGAAAGGAGCCTCCAACCTCTTCAGGCAGCCCTCTGCTTCTACTGCAACCCTCAGTGAGG